TCAGTGGCAGGAGATGAGGGAGTATGATATTTATTGTAAGAATATCGCCGGGGTCCAGTCTACTATATGTTGTCTATATGTTTCTTTTCAACAGAAAATAGAGATGATGATGACAGTGGTCGTCCGTGTCCTTCTTTTGTCAAGTTGCATATGCTCATACTTTGGATTCACCATCTTTCTTTTCAACAGAAAACAGAGATGATGATGACAACGGTCATTTTTAGACCTTCATGCGTCACGTAGCCGTCCGTGTCCTTCTTTTGTCAAGTTGCAGCCTTGAAATCAGAGTAGATTTCGCTCACAAACAATACATTCCAGCAGCATTTGGCTCCTCTATCCTGCCACACCACCATCAACAATGCCCAGCCCTACACTCTGTTTTGTAAAATAACACCACTCTAATGGGAGGGAGGCCCTACATTTCATCTTCTCGGCTCACGTCTAGTGGGGGAAGGTAAGAAGAGAAAGACTGGGTGTGACTCATTTAGATAAAGGAGCAGAAAAACAAAGCCTCCCTATCCAAAAGTGAAAGTCCTTAAAGCAAATTCAATATTGAAATATGAAAGTTTCAAATCATGCGATTGAGGAGTGCATGGTGCACGTTCAGTCAGTTCAATGTGCAAAAACATTCAATGTGGATTTGTTACGTTTGGTTTTTTTAGTTTGTTTGTTTATCTTTAAAATGACTATAGTTAAAATACATGACATAAGTGTAGCACTGCTGTAATGCTTGAATGATAACAAGCCTCCAGTCACTAGGTGGCAGCAACTCAATTAGTGGTTTGTACAGATAAAAGTATGCATGTTATCAGGTTCTCAATTGTATTTCAATTTGCAGGGGTGTGAGGGGGGGGGCATGAAAACATTTCTGTCCCCAAGAGGGAGTAGTAATTAAGAACCACTGGTTTGCAGTAAGAGTTCTGTTCTGTTCTGTTCTGTTCTGTTCTGTTCTGTTCTGTTCTGAAAGAGTTATCGATGTTTATTCAGTAGGTGAAAAAGGAAAGTGCAAAGGTAATAACATCAATCTGCTTATTATGTCTTAGACAAAGTAACTATAAAGATGATGAAGAACGGTATTTGAAATAGAGTTTTTTCAAACAATTTACTTGTAATTCTACTTCTTCATGGACAATGAAAAATTAACCCATCAATCACAATTAGTGGTGAAATCTTTACACCATCTTCTGACCCTAATCTCTGTGCTCTCTCCCCTTCTAGTAATGGGGCTAACACACCCACCACACACACACACGTTAGAGAACTGCAAGCTGGGTAAAAAACATCAAGTTATTCCAACCAGATGGTGTGTAGGAGTGGAACATTTATTCATTTGATGCAAGTATTGATTTTTTTTAATCCACTACTTTTGTCTGTGAACTCAGCTGGTTTACTACTACTTCAAATTTAATGCTGCTTGGTCTCATCTGTACTTTTGTAAGTTATGGTGGCAGGCACTGAATATTTTTTTTATTTATTTTTTGCCTTGCATACAACTGTTTCCATCCTTGGCCAACACAGAGCTAAATGGCTGTTTCTGAGGATGGAAAAACTTGAAGGCCAAATGATGTTATGTGAGAACACAAACATCATACATGCACAAAAGTATTGACCAAGGACATTTCATGTAAGGACTGTCTGTTTACGTTCCACTGAGCACATGGGAAGGCTCTAGAGCAGCGGTCCCCAAGCTTTCTTTCACGGGTCAAATGTCTTCATTTGTAATCACTAGAGAAGTAAAAATAAAAGCAAAATAAAAAAAACAATGCCATAAATATTTGCATGTTAATTGTTCCTAAAGAAAATTGACGTGTTGCAAATATAGTTGAAGTTTCATGAAACAAAGTATCAGAATATTTTAGTGTATTGATATCTTCTTACACCCCAATGAATTAACATTCAGAAAAAGACTTGGTATTCTAACTACGAATACAAAAACAAAACGCCTGCTGCACACTCCACAGAAGCCAAGGCAGAGACGCGTTAACTACTGCTACACACACACCAATTTCTCTTAAATTTAATTTTAACGCAGTTGCAAGGACGGAATACAAATGATGAAATTATCTCAGCGGACCTTTGCCTATCCTCTTTCTCTTTAAGAACCTCTTCACAATCGAATCTAATTCTTTTGGTTTCGTCTTCATGTGCCAACCATTGACTGCATTACTCTGTCTGAGAACCAGCTAAATTTGTAGATTTGTCAGGAGGAATATCATATTTGTACGTAAGCCCGTCTTTGTGAAAGTGTGTATATAAAATTAAGTAAGGCACATAAATCTGTGTGTTTTTCATACAACCCTTGTACTTGTCCTACTCCACTGCTTATATCGACATTGCTTTCCACACAGTATTTCAGATACGCTGACTGAATCCCTTGACAGAGGAATATCTTCAAGGTTTATTACTCAATCCCCCCAAAAATATGGTTTTTCATTCGCAAGGGAAAAAAAACAAGGTTTTGTGTAGAACTTACAAAAAGTTTCCTTTCAGCGAACTGGTAAAGCGGCGAAATTTTGCATAGTTACTGTAAAATATCTTAAAAAAGGACTTTCACTGATTTGTTAAATTCTATTATGAATTTAGAGCTGCCTTTTGGTTATTGGTAAGTTAATTTCAGCAAATAAACACACCAAAAATAACTTTACTGCTGCTGTGTTAAATCTAAAGTCCAGGGTTAATTCATGCACAATATTCCAGAAAAGTGTATGTGTATAATAAAAGTGTATAATAAGATAGTGTTTCTGACATGAGTAAGTGTATAATAAGATAGTGTTTCTGACTCAAATTCACTGACTGGAATTCAAACAGCATTTCCTGTTCTGTGATCTGACCACTCTGTTATTTCGTTGGAAATAATAAATGTGTTGATTGATAGGTGAGATATTGCTCTCATAAAAAAATAACTGCAGATACAAGACCTGCGTAAGAAAAAGTAACAATAATGTATGAAGCTTTAAATCAAATGCCAGCGCTTCCAGTAATAATTTATGCATTTGTGTATGTTTGTGATCATCAAAGCTTTGTTCATGAAAGAACATCTGATGGTTCTGGTTGAAAGGTTCTGTTAGGGAACTGGACGTGAAATTTTCTCAAAGTAAAGACATTTCGCCTCTCATCCAAGAGGCTTCTTCAGTTCACGGATGACTAAGAATCTTCATAGATCTGACGGTTATGGTATGGAATGAATGATAACTACTGCACGCATTAGAACAAAGGTACAGAATGTCTTTCAAAACAAATTACCAAGGAGCTTAAGACAACAGTCAGGCTGGACTGTAATGCACAGAGGTATGCAGTGGGAATGCTCTGCAATGATCAGACCTACGTAAATGTCATTCCTGTTTCCTCAACAAAGCCCTTACTTCATCTGCAGCTCTTCCTGTAGCTGTAGCTGACTAAACCAATGGTACAGATAATGCCAGAGGGCAAAAAAAAAACAGTTTGCGTGGCCCTGAATTTCTATGTTCATTTGTTTTTGAGTCTGGATAACAAGAGTCAGTCAATTATCAATGCTGACAGCGTTGACAGTGGATCTCGCCACAAAAAGCTCCAAAGACTTAGAATTTCTTCTGTTTGCATCTGCTATGTTCTACATGTTCCACTGAGCACAATTGTAATTCAGCGCATATTAGTTCCAAAGCCTAGACTTGATTGAAAAAAATAATTAAACATCAGAGTCTCAAGTGAGGTTAATTTAGTTTGTTGTGTTCCTAACAGTTTCAGACATGGAGACAATTTGGAGGAAAATTATTCTTCCTAATGTAGGCTTCATTTCAGCCTTTTAATCTGCTTATCTTTTAGCATTAGCTTGAGGGGTGTGTTAAATAATGTAGATTCTGTATAAATAAAGATTCAATATCTTTTGATTAGTTTCCCCAAAAGGAACCGTCTGATTGGAAAGAGTAGGAGGCTTTGTTAGGGTTCACAGTTATTGAACAGTCAAACACTGAAAATGAATAGAAATATTGAATTTGAACAGACTGGTTCAGTCTGTTATCAATATAATGAACATAAATAAATCAACATGTTTTTGTGTGACTCACTTCTTTTTTGTTTCTCCCATAACTGAAAGAAATGTTTTGAAGGAACTAGGTTCCTTCCTGGTGAAAAAAGAATAATTCAACTAAATTCTGAAATACTCTGACACAAAACCTCACTGACAGAAGTGTCGAGTTTTGAATTAATCACATATGCTTCAAAATATTTTAATTAAAACACGAAGGCCTTTGGCCTGGTGTTACCAGATGTTTTTAGATCCCAAGCCTTTCTGGCTTTTTGGTTTTTTGGTCTGAACAACAATGTTGATAATATATATATACACATTATATATTTTTACAATTTGTCTTAGAGATTTTGGACTTAGCCTTCCAAATTATATAATCTGTTTTAAGAAAACCACTTTTATATATCTTAATTTTTTTTAAAAAAGGTGCTCCGTACAGTGATTTTCTTACTACACCCACTCAGTGACACGCCATGTCAAACATTTCACTTTTTTTTCCCGTGGCATTAAGAGGACTTAGGTTTTGAGCCAAAGTCTTTGACAGGACACAAAAGGACGATCCGTGGAAAAACGCCCCGCAGCGTTTTTGAGCGAGACAGTGGGTGTCCTCGGTGATAACCACCGGATACTCCCGGCTGTTGGCGCATTGTTTTGTAGAGTTACCTTCTTTTTGAAGAGCAAAACAACACAGAAAGCTGGGCTATATACGTTAAATAAGTTCAGTTTGAAAACGCTGTCAACATCTAACAGAGAAGCAGGTGCTTAATGTACAGGCGAGGAACACACTGAACCCACAGCCACCGTGGGAAACATGCCCGCGGTTAACGTGGATATTGTGGACAACTCTGGTCACAGTTTAAAACTTTAGCTACCGGAATTTAAGGACAACTTCAGACATTGTTATCTTTTGTTTAAAATAGCAAATAATCCCAGCGAAAACGAGGAGATACCGGCAAAAACACAACGGTTACAAAAACAAAAGAAACGTTAAACTTACTGTGATAGTAACTTCTTGCTTTTTCAACCGATACCTCAGGCTCTTCATGTTGTTTGGCGTCACTCCTCGGTGTTAAAATTTTTTTTTGTTGAACACGTCCATATATTTCACATAAACTTTGAAGAAAGTTAATCCACAGAAACTTTCATCTGCTTATTTTTCCTCACGCAGCCAGTTTCACCTGACGCCTTACCGCAGGCTTATTGGCACGTTGAGTGACAGGCGCTTCAGCCAATCAAGTAGCACCTTGTACGGCGAATGTTTGCTTTTAGACCAATCAGCGACATTAAAGGGCGGGACTTCCTAGTAAAGTGTTGTTGAGAGAAGCCGGGGGCGTTGACTGGGGCAGGGTAGGAAAACCTGGCGTCCTCTCAGACTTTACCTGCTTGAAGAAGACAAGCACCTGTAAAAACATGGATACAGTCGAAAGGTCGAAATAACGACATTTCCTTCACGTATATTTGCTAATAAAACATGGATTCGAAATATTTGAGACGCAGTTGTGGGTTACTGTATTAATAAAATACTAATATATTGTACTTCTTGCCACCATTATGAAAAGTTAAAAAATATATATTTATTTCTAATTTTATTCACCAGAAGATGATCAGATAGTACACAATAGTTCATACAGATAGACAGACAGATAGATAGAGAGATATAGATAGATAGATAGATAGATAGATAGATAGATAGATAGATAGATAGATTACGCTTATTAGCTTATGTTCCTTTCCAACCCAAGTCCACTTCTTTACATTACAATGCATAGCTTACTGACTTTCCAGCCTGTTAAATGTTTCTGTCTTTTGTCTCTGTTCAGATTGCAACAGCGTTACCATGGTGTTTCCATGGAGTTACCATGGAGCTGCCACTGGTGTTCAGTCGGTCTAAGCTGGAGTCGCACTGACCTCATGGTGCTAATAGGGCCTTACGCTGCATTGCTAACCAGCCCAAATTAAGGGTCTTTTTTTTGGACTCTCTTTCTGATGAGAAAGTTTTGTTTTTGTTTGAAAGTCTTTCACGTCACTTTGCCAAAGTTTACCAGGGCAGGGAAAGGATGTCAGGCAGGAATCAAGGTGTTAACTGGGATTCTTGTTGTCACTCATGATTGGCAGTTTCGGGGGGACTTTGTGAGGCAGCTGGACAACAGCACAAAATATATAATTTATGACAAATATGACTGAGAGTGACTGAGATTGAAAGATTTATAGATTACAACCAACGCATCACGCAGACGTGGAACCGCAGCTTGGACCACATCAGCACAAAGACGGCATTGGTCCTATATTTTAAAACTCTTTGCAGCACTGACCAACAAGCAGAGGCAAAACTCCTGAAGGACAAGAACACGTGTAAGTCCTGCTGCCCCCACTGGTCAGTCTGTGGACCTGAGGCTTAAGTTTGTCAGGAGCCAAACTGTTTGAACAAATTTACTTATACTAGTATTTCTTGTGCAGCAAAATAGTCATATCCCATTGGCAGACTTGTACAAGACTTTTATTTAAAAAAGTTTCTTTTTAGTGTTAAAGTTTACATCTTCAATGTTGTTTCCCCTCTTGAATTCATGCAGTGTCGAAATATATTGCCGCGTACTTTTGACTTCCTTCCTGCAGACCATCTTTGCCCTTGGTTATATTCACTGTACCTAGAAATGACTCATGCACAATAATACAATTTTCATGTGCATGAAAGATGGATGCTTGTGCTCCTGTCTATTCAGATGAACATGAAATCAGATTTTTTTTTTTTGAAGCAGATGTGCTCAGATAGGGGAGTTGTATGCTGTGCTACGCCGCTGTCAGGAAATGCTAATCTGTGACTCACTCCCTTCATCGTTATCAGCCCATTTCACCAGTGAGTGACACTCTGCAAAATGAATCATGAGAGAGCGGTGACATCGCTAAATGATTCGTAACATGAGAGCATGATGTTGGAATAAATCGGGTGAAGTGTGTGTAAAAAAACATTTTATTTACTTCTTAAACAAATGAGTACAAATACACAAAATACAAAAACATTGTCCACTCAACAATGATACGTGGTCCAGCATTAAATGCACCAAATGTGACAAGAGAAAGAAACATTTATAAATATCCTCATGCAGCACTAACAAATTAGATGGAACCTAGTAGAAGATCCAAAAGCTGCTCACAGACAGCAGCGTTTAGGAAGAAATCTTTTTTTTTTTTGTCTCTTAAAAGTGAGATGAAAATAACAAAGACAGGGAAAAGAAATGGAGTTGAATTTAGCAAAGATGTCACACATTTGACTCCTGCGGTGGTGACAAGCTGTGGCGATCTCTCCGGGGAAGGCAGATCAGTTCAGTTGGAAAATCTCTGCCCTCAGAAGTTTACAAGTGTTTGGGAAGGAGAGGTTGACATGCTTCAGCGGAATCGCTGTATTCTGGGAGCACTCAGACAGCCTTACGGTGATACTCTGGAGGAGCGACCTCATAGTCAGTGGCAGTGAACAGGCTGGAGGAATTCTTCGCCAAGTACCTGAAGGAAACATGACATTTTCTCAGCACAGAGCCGCCGTCCATTTTTGCTATGATAATTGTTGGAAGCAGTAATGACTTTGCCCTTTGGTATTCAGTACACCTGGAGAGCAGATGATAGGATGTGAACCAGCAAACTTCTTCCTTGAGGTGAGAATGCATGTTAAGATCAGTTTTACTTGTACATTTTTTGAGCTATCAAAATAAATCAATCAATATTTAAATGTCAGCATCCATCCACTCATCTACGCTCTAGTCGATAATTATTTGCAGACACCGCAGCAGATTAGAACACCATCTCATCCAGTCAGACGCATCAGACGTCTGACTGGCAGGATGACTGACACTGGCAGGATGACTGACACAGTTGACCAATGGACTGTGAGGGACTGTAGACTGATTAATATTCTTGAGGACAACGACTTCACCAAGGTTTTGAAAATAATCTGAAGCATAATTCTGGGTTATACTTGTGTATATTCTTCTGCAGTGGCATGTCCATCAGAGGAATGGGTTTCATGTCCTGCCTCTCTGCCTTGTCAAAAGATGGAAATCCAGTTACTTTCCAACATTCTTTCAGATGTGAAATAATTAGAATCTATGAGAACGAGATCAAAAGCTGTTGAAAGACTTCAATTATCTTAACAGGTTTCCATTTCACTTTTGTTAAAGATTCGTATTTAACAATATTCCTCTTTGTGGGTGGAAAATATGACAAAGACACAGCATAACGAGGAAATCGGTTAAAGACGTCTGAGAGATTTGTCCTAACATACATACAGTATATACATATATACGTACATATATATGTTAATGTATATACATGTATATATGTACATATACACATATATACACAAACACATACATATACACAGTATTAGCTGCTTTTCATCATATTTAAGCTGTAGCTTTATGTCTCAGAAATAAAGTACTTACACAGTGTTCAAGTAGAACACTGACAGTACTACAAGTACAAGTACTACTTACATTCCCGTCTGTCCTGTCCCCTGAACTTTCTCTCTCTCTTCAGCAGTACTCGGCATGAAAAACTACAGTATTCTCAGTCAAACTAAACATCATCAGGTGCCCCCATATAAAAAATAGCATCGCTGCGAAACAGCACACAGTCTAATGACATCCACAGGTGGACACCAGAGACACATCTTAATGCCAGGGGAGAGAAGACATACTACAGCTGTCCTCCTCCACCAGATCTCTGAGGACAGATGTTCCACACCGACTGGAGATCACTGTGATTTAACTGTCACAGTGTTGGTGATGTGTGATGTGAATGTAATGTTGTTTCTGCCTTTTCAGCAAAACAAAAGATACATAAACCATGAGGCGGCGAGCTGCTCATTTGCATGAAACTGTGGGTATTGGCTGCAGTGAAGTGTTTGTTAATGTTTACTTGTTTAGGGTTCTGTGATAGAACCTATGATGGATGTGATGGAACCTACATTTGTTTAGATGCATTTACAGAATGTCTTTGTCGCTGCAGCTAATTTGGAGATGCCAGCTTCATCGATATCTCAGAGAAAAATGTCCTTCTGTGTGCAGCCAATGACACACCACACCACATGACAACCAACCAATAACATTCAAATGAACATACATACGTCATACAAATAATAAACTCAAACGACTGATCGCGATCTACTGCTAGATCTGACCTGTAGTATCCACATGGTTTGGACAGTGTGCTGCTGGTGAATGAAGGAACAGGAACTTACTTGAGAAAATCCTGGAGGTAACTGAGCAGCAACGCCAGACTCTTCTCATCCAGAGGAGTGTAGGCCAGCATGGCTCCGATACGGACTGTTGGAGGAGGAAGGTGGTGTTAATGTTTTGAAAAGTTCCATAACTGTTTAAACTGAACCACTGCCATCATAATGTCAACCCCCCCCCAGGGCCGTATGCAGCCCGTTTAGGTTTTTAATCCGGCCTGCCAAACTTGTCCAAATGATGTTATTAATTTCTATTGTCATTACACTTCTGCCTTTACCCTGCAGTTCCCGCATTTCTCCAATAGATGGCGTAAAAAAGGCTATTCGCCTTTATGACTTTTACATGTCATTTGTTTTAGTTAACACAAACGCTCCATCTATCTGCTCCTGACCCTGTCCCCCCCCCATCACATTTTAGGACCCATTGTGGCCCGCGAGTCAAAAAGTTTGCCCACGTCTGGTTTAAGTCACTGTTGTTTTTTGCATACATATATGTCTCTATATGTAGAGAGAATGTATTCATATATTTTTTTATTGATATACCCACATATATTTGTGTGTATATATATATATATATATTTAAAGATATATACAAATATAAACTTTAAAGTTCCTTTCTAGGAGGTTACAGTTTTGTTTTGTTTTTTTCAAATCTTTCCAGATCTCCTAGTCTGCAGTAGAATGTTCCACTGATTTCCTTTCACTTTGATTGTGTGTCTGAGAACTTTACCAGTATCGGTTCTTCCTGACCATCATCCACATCCTCACTTTAGACGCCCTGAAACTGAATGTCTACATTTAACAAAAGCTGCACATTTAGCAACAGAAGACATTTTAAATGAATCAATCATTTTGTCACCTCCACCACACGGTCCCTGTGTCCAGACCATAATCTATAGAAAGTCTCACAGAACATTCCTTTCTGTCTTGTTCCTATCCTCACATCATCATATTTGTTCATATTTTATATGGTTGTCCTGAGAATTATCTGTGTCCTGGTGTGCGTTGTGTGTCTGTGTGTGTGTGTCCAGGGCTCCTACCAAAGAGACGCAGCAGGTGTGGAGCTCCGTAAACCTGTGACATGGACATGTCCGGTTGCTCCGCCAGGATCTCGGCGTACTGCGGCCTCTCGAACTTGTACAGCAACTGTGTGCCCAGCATCACGTTGAAATACTCACGAATCCCTGCCACCACTTCACTGACCGCATACTCCCTGAGTACGACCACAGACACACGCAGTACTGTCACATACTGAGAACTCTGACGTATGTGGTGTTCCAGAGAGACAAGGTCAATGAGTGGATTCATCCAAGAGTGTAATTGAAAAACTGAACCCAGTAAGTGATGAGCGCTGGAGGCGAGGAAGTTGAAGAAAAGAAAGAAAAGATATGACTCATAGAAAAGAAACTATGAAGCAGAGAATGATACTGACGACGGAGAAGAAAAGAAGAAAAAAAAATAATGGAGGAAAGACAGAAAGGTAAAAAGGAAAGGAAGAAATAAAAAAACTGGACAACAAGACACAAACAATGAGGAAAAAACTGAGAAAGAAAAGGTTTGAGAAGAAAAAAAGGAAGAAACAAATGTATTATGTGTATTTTTTTGACTAAACAGCAGGATTCACATCAATAACGACTAACTTTTTGGAGGAAACTGGAAACCTGAGGGAACTGAGGGAATCTGAAGCAGCAGCAGCTCTGATGGTTTCACACTGAGTGTCTGGTACAATCTCACTAATCACAGCATGAAACAGTCAGTCCTTCAAAGAACACCTGCCTGCTTCTGCTTCGTCTTACTTATTGTCAGTGTTTCCTTTTGATTTCTTGTAGTTTGCGTAGTCCTCTAAGATGTTCTCTACGTTCTTCTGAGCAGGCAGATGAAACAGCTGGAAGCGAAAAGAAAATTCATCTCTTTATGGACGGCTTTTTTTCTTTTATCAGCAGTATAAAAGTTTCAGCTTTTGAAAGATTAACTTAGATAACATGACTGGATGCTTTTACAGGATATTCATCAAGATTTAAGACATAATTAACTCTAAATAACAAGGCTGTGTAACATACTGTTCTACACTCACCTTACACAGGATATTCATCAAGATTTAAGACGTAATTAACTCTAAATAACAAGGCTGTGTTTTGTTCCTCTGTTTTACTGCAAAGACATTCACATTTATTACTATTTATTCACACTTAATAAAATATACTTTTACAAAAAACCTCATGAATATGAAGTGTTTGTGTATTTTTTATTTGTCAAAATTTATTAAGCGGGCCAGATTGAACCCCCTTGTGGGCCAGTTTTGGCCCGTGGGCCGTATGTTTGATTCATTCCTGATTCATATACAAAACATATATTTATATATGTCTGTGTGCGTGTGTATATATGTATACGTATATATGTATATATATATATATTTACATACACACGCAAACAGACATATATAAATATATATGTTCATGAGGTGAGAATGAAGATTAAAGGCTGACACCGATATTTTCCTTTCCTTTAGTCTCTTTAGTTTCAGTTGCTGTTGCTAATAGGATGTATAATACATAATAAAAAGCACTCAGAGCAGAGGTACTCATCTCATCTGATCTCATCTCATGGCAGAGATGAACTACAGGTCATTAAATGTTGAGAGTACCATCTGTCAGGGGTTTTGAAGACGGCTTCCTCATAAGAACGAGGTTTTCCTTTATCCATGTTGGTTCATGTTGTCCTAACAACTACTGACTTACATCAGCGCTCCCTGCGTCTCCAGTCGAGGTGGTTAGAGTCAAATCACTGCAGTACAGTGTTCAATGATATGCAGACGACTGTCTGATTTATGTGCCTTTGTCATGATCATAAACTTGACCTCATGTATGTTTTTACGCTGGGTTTTTTTTCTCACCTGTTTTTGTCTGGTAATTAGATCCCAGTCGTCGACTAACCAGGGCTTCAGCTCCTCTGGAATCTTCACTTTTACTTCCACACGGTTAGTAAACATATCCTCCTGGAGAAACACACATGGAGAACCAGAGTCTCTGGTCTTAAGAGAGTCAAGACTTCTACTTCACATCATGGATGAACTTCTCTTATAGGTCAAACACCGTAAATGTATGTCCTCCATATGTAGTATGTGTGCACTTGGCTAACTTCAGGGGAGTGAATCTAGGTTTTCTAATTCAGATGTACCCACCCACTGGACAACATGTGTCAAACTCAGATCTAGAGTCAGACGTACCAACCCACTGGACAACATGTGTCAAACTCAAGGCCCGCCAAGTTATTTTATATGGCCAGTAGGAGCTTAAAAAGCATTATATTCACCTGATAAATAATTTTATTTTTTTATTAGACAGCAATGAACAAGATCTGTAACTCAAAGAAATAATAATCAATTGCAGAAACATTTATGTTATGGAGTAGTTACATCTATCTCAAGGGGAACTGTACTGCTGCTGTGGTCCCCAGTGAAAATGAGTTTGCACTTGATTATAAGCGCAAAAATGTACTTGTAGATAAAATGTTTAAGATCACATATATCAATAAAATGCAATGCTATGACTGAGCTGCGGTCAGGTGTTCAAGGTTAAACTCTGTGGTTGATGCTTACACTCTCCACAGTCGGATCGACCCGGGCCCTCTTCTTCCGAGGTCCCTGGGGGGGTTCTGTGCTGCTGGTGCCTTCACCCGGCCCTGGGGCTGAAGAAGAAAGTCACCAGATAAACAACAAGAACCAAAAGGATGCTACCTTGCTGAATTTTGAAATTGCTCTTCACAGTAAGTACATGGATTAAAGACAAGAGCCACTGATTGTACTGTTTTTCCTGTTATTATGATGACGAGTTGAAATTAAATCTTTTTTAGACTTTGTTTTAGAGACATTGGTCTGGCAGTATGTGCCTCAGTTCTGAGTAGCCTTTTTGTGCTTTCTTACTGGGAAACATCTCAACTGAGTAAAACTTAGAAAATAAATTTATTTTCATTTTTAAACTTTAAACTAACAGTGTAGCGTAGTAGTTATTAATATGTGAATAATATGTAATATTAATAAATTTAATAATCAATCATTTTAATAATGACATACTACTATCAACATCAGCTGGATGATTAGTTACTGACAGGATTGACAGCCAGGAGGAAGTGGCAATTTTTCAAAATATTCTTTATTCTTTATTTGTGGTCCGGTGCCTAATGATCTACGGACCTTGATGTTTGTAAAGTTTTGAACTTAAAGTGAACATATTGAATAAAAAAAAATTTTACTTACTCTTTTGTTTTGCCTTTTTTACTTTCCTTAATGTAAGAGAGGAAAACAAATCATCATTATTGTGATTGATAACACATCAATAAATGATCATGTTTACGTTACTCAGCAGCGACACTCCATGCTCGTGTAAATAAACAAGCTGTTCTACTCACAGATCCACATTTTCATGCTCGTGTAAATAAACGAGCTGTTCTACTCACAGATCCACATTTTTCTGCTGCACAGCAGCAATCTTCTTACTCGGTGTTAAACCCCTCATCTTTCCCTCGACATAATGGTCCCTGTGAAGAGAAGACGAGCAGAGAAGATCACAGCACCGTTAGCTTCAGTCTTGAAGAAATGTCAGGGGAAAACACTTGTCAGACCCTGAAATGAGGTCAGTGAAAACATCAAAAATACATGAAGCTGCCTTCATTAAAACTCTCTCTACTTACTTCACTTTTTACAGAATTCAACTTACTGATTGGCCTTTTGAAGCTCTTTTTGTTTCGCAAGATTGCTGTCCACATATTTGAGAACTCTGCTTTCAGGAACCCATTCATCCCAGCTGCAAAAGATAAAACATCTTAAAACTTTATACTAAACACTTAGTGAAATCCTGCGCTATAAAACTCTCAATTCTCAAAAAGACACGTGACAGTCAAATATAAAAATATATTAAAAAATACAGTACAACTCAACATGTATTTGCAGCCGTCTGCTCACTTTTTGTTCCATCCGCTGTAATGAATGAAGTATTTTATCTGCTTTTCCTTAATGCTGATCTTTACACACTGGAAAACAGGACAACACACACACACACACAGGTCAGCATCAGATATCGACTTTAATGTGAAGAAAAATGTATTTACTGTGTGACACTTAAACACACCTTTGCTTCGTAGAGCAATGGGCCATGAAAGCACAGGACTCTTTCACCTGAGAGAAGAGCGAAAAAGAAGTAGAAAAGAAAGAAAACAGTATGAGTTGACAGAGTGATACATGACTAGTCAAAACGTCTGTTGTCGTTATAGTTTTCCTTGAATCGGTTTTTCGAAGTTTCCCAAAGAAAAACAACATAAATCTGTGAAAATATACATTAACTCATTTCCAGATTAGCCTCGTCCGATAATATGCTACGTTGAACCAAACATGGTCAGGGGTTTCTCAGGAAATGACAGTTCAGGTTGCGTAGCATTTGTAATTATATTTTGAGCATCTTATCAAAGAAATCAGCCTGGTCTGTTCCCATTAGTGTGTTTGTACCCACTAAACCAAGTGAGTGAACATTAGAACAATTCCGCTCAACTCGGTTCTAACATGACGGGTTATTGACCCTTGAACGAGTCAAATAAGAGCCAGACATCAACTCATTTACTGGTTAGTATAATATTGAAAAATAATATTGAAGTGCCTGCCGTTCAGAACACTCATTTATAATATTGAAGTGCCTGCCGTTCAGAACCTTTACTTTCCGACTCTGTCAGTAAACACAACAAAGCCAAATTTCAAACGTTTCTTTTTAACACCGAGAAATCGTTGATATCGTTAATATTTACTTTTTTTTTGTCAAACCGTGTGCCGTCCATTAATCGCATATTATCCCCCTCCCAACTCCAACATACATACACGATAGCTAACAGCTAGCCTCATCGGAAAAGCTTATTTAAACGTTACCTGTTACGCGTATGTTTTTACTTTTATTACGTAACGTAACCGTATTTAGAAATAGTCGATTTTGTGAGTGTTTTCAATGATTCCCGCTCAGGTCTGTGCGGTTATTGTCTGTGTTCTGGCGGCTCCTCAACAATAACAAACCCGCCCCTTCTCATTGAAGCCGCGGTTTCTCCTCACACACCTTCTTGAAATTTCGGTTTAGGGTCCTGTTTTGGCGCCATTCACGGACTCAGCTGATCGGCTGTCTGACGGATCAAATTCGTGCATTGCCAGAGTCCATCTCTTCCGGCCATAAACACCTCCGACATCGGAGCTATAGAGGTGGAGTAGCCGATACGAGGCTGCCTGCTGCTGGTCACCTGACCACCAAGCTTCAGAGCTGTGCTGCATTCAAAGACTTTGGATAAAGCTCGGAAACTCAATAACTCTTCTCCTTGTTGCTGTCCGTCGACGCTCGATTGGTCCTGTTCTCAGGCGACTGTATCTACGCCTGCCTTAAAATTAAAACAAATAACTGAACTTTTTAAAAATCCCATCTGTCCTTATTGTGGAGCCACAAGAAGTATTAGATGTGAGGCAAAAGTCGCTGTTGTCCTTGCCCTTCAACCTGGAGATCATTGTATCCATGTGGTATTTAGTTGGTTGTCTCAACATGTGGCACGGAGTACCCAAAACAACAGCTGGTGACTGCTTGGACTGACCTCTAACCCCTCTTCCATCATGTTACCTATTTTTAATTTAAGGTTCTTAACTTGAGCCCTTAGGTATCACCTGTGTCAAACTCAAGGCCTGGGGACCAAATATGGCCCGCCAAGTCATCTCATGTGGCCCGCGTAGCAGAGTTTTTTTAACCTGATAAATTAAATGTTTTTATTACACAGTAATGAAGAATATTTGTGACGTGAATAAATAATAATCAATAGCTGAAACATTTATAAATAACAGGCCCTTCAGGGGAAACTGTTTTGCTGATGTGGTGACAATGAGTTTTGTTCCTCCAAAACCAGAAACAGTACCAGGAGTGAGTGTCGGTCCACTGTGACCCAGTGTCGGCCTGAACAGTTTTTTTGCTGCTCTGCTCTACTTCCTGTTCCACCTGCGTCGACGTCCGCAACAGATGTTCATAGAGAAGAGCGAGACCATTCTCTCTAACTGTCAGCATTCCTGATTAGATCTCTGCAGTTATGGCCAACATTCTGTCTGCTATGTTTACAGAAATAGCTCCCATTAAAGTTAAATGTTTCATCTGCAGCTCCATTTGTTCTATTTGTGCCGGAATGAGCTGATACTCGCACGAGTCCCGCATCCCGTCCTGCTTTATGGACCCACTCCACTGCCTGTACTGTGACTGTGGCTATTTCTGGTTTTGTTTTATTTCCTCTGATGCTGCGAGGAAACCACAGCAGATGACTGTGGAGTGTGTGTTAGAACACTTCAGCTCTGGCTCTGGTGTCTGGCCATGAGAGGCTTCCAATTGATTATGGCTGGACAGAAGTGTGCTGCTGCTGTTAATGCTTGAATGAAATGACAAAACTCCAGTCACTAGGTGGCAGCAATTCATACAGTTTGTTTGTACAGATAAGAAAATATATATTATCATATTTGTTGAGAACCACTGGTTCAGGGGAATGGGATTGGACCATTTAAAATAATCTCAAAATAATCTGTGAAGATTAATGCTCTGTATATTAAGTGCAGTGCTTAGCTATTTATACAGTCGCTGGTCAGCTATATCATTAGCACAGCTGCCTGTTGTTAATTGACCACTCAGACCTGTCTGATATCTAATGTACAATCACTTTTATCACGTCACTTCACTTCACATACAGTATATGAGCCGTTATTATAAACTGTATTCACGACATAATTAGAACTTAGATCCCAGGGAAGGCTATGACAACAGGCCCCTGTGTACCACAGGTAATACAGATGAATATACGTCTACATACTCTGCAGAATTCACTATTTAATGCAAGACTAATACCCACTAAAAGAAATGTGTCAAAGCAGTAATATTATAAAGTCATATTTTTTTGCGACCTTATCCGTCAGGGGTCCTTGGAGTAGCCGGAAATTGTGGAAAAATAAGTGTGCTGTCTGTGTTTAGGATTTGGAGATAATGTACGAGGAGTGGACAGATCTGAACAGCTATGGGAGGTTTGTTACACGGTGTGTAGGAGTCATACATATAAAACTGTGATTGCCATAGAAAAGCGTGCTGAAATTACCACGGCCATTGATTGAAGTCCACATGACGCCAATCAAACTCAATCAAGATTTTCTGTTTGAGCTCAGCCACTTGTTTCAGGTAAATGGAGAAAATGTGTCACCGCAGTCCATTCACAGTAACAGGTGCTGACGACGCTGTCGAAAGTCGGTTACGTAACGCGAGGAACTTCTGGTTTCGTCCATCTTTATATCACAAATATGACCGGAATCCTCAATTCTTCTAATGAAAAAAACATATGTGTGTACGTATAAAATGTGTTTAAAACAAATTTCGATACGACACAGGTTTATGTTCATATTTTTATTATAGCGACTGTCATTTATAATCACGGCTGTCACCTAAATATCGACGTTGTCTGACAACACATGATAGCCGTCCATATAAGCTACATCCTAGCATAAATAAATAAATAAATTTGAATTTCTGAGAAAAATTAGGAGAAATATTTTTTTTAAATTATCTTTAAAAAACAATACCTCTACGGCAAAATACCTCTTGAGCAAAATAGTGAATAAAAAAGACCCACTAGGGGTTGTGCTTGAGCAAAATAGTGAATAAAAAAGACCAATGAAATCAATTATACAGTTGAACATTTGATCGATTCTTTATGCTATCGCTAACACAACAACAAGTAGCGAAACAAACACATAATTATATCACATTTTATCACAGTTAAGTTACGTACAGTACATCTGTACAAAAACTTTGACAGGGTTCGATTCCCTCCTTGGTATCTATGTCGCCCCCTGTAGGTGGATAGCCGAACCTGTTGATTTTTAAACAGACATTTTCAGCTGCAGGTGACCAGTGATCAGTGACGTAGACACATGTACAACAGCTCTACATATCTACCCAGTAAAGAGATTCTGCACGTGACCCACACATATATACACACACACACATATATATATACATATACTGTATATGGACACAGTCCATTAGTACAGGGGCTGAATGACAGAGACTCATCAGGAATGACAATAAAAACAGGACCAAAGATGTTTCATCTGTCCACGCTCCACACCGCCCTCTATTCTCTCCACTCAGCAGGTCATTATTTGGTATGAACAATGTGGTCTGCAGGGGGCGAACTCTTCAGTAGCTGCTCCTGTGGCTTAAACTGTACCTTACTGCAGAGCACGCCCGCTCACGTCACAGTTCTATTCCATCTGGAGTCTCAGAGGAATCCTGAGAGAAGAACAACGATGAGGTCTCTGGTGTGGTCCAAACACTGTCCAAACTCATCCTCACGATGTCCTCAGGTTCCTGGGAACCAACGGTACTCAGTACCGACTCACAAACCTCCGTGACCCAAGTCAATAGACAATAGACAATAAACTCCTGGGAAACATCTTGTGAGACGACCCAAAAAAACCCTCTTGCGACCCACCTGAGGGTCGCGAACCAGTCTTTGGGAAACAATGGTCAAAATGAACGGCCTGAGGACAGACATATATATACATATATACAGTATATATTTATATACTTCATATATATATTATTCATAGTATATATATATATATATTTCATAGTATATTGTTTACCTATACACACGTGTCATATACTTAACTGTGTGCTAACCTGTGCTAACCTGTGCTAGCACAAGTGTTAAATAACAACAACAAAATACAGAGTTAACAGATGACGTTAACAGACTGACTGCAGTCATTGTCCAGTTATTTTTTTAAATTAGATAAATTACATCAAAGTGTCTTTATTTACTGGGAAAATGCATCTAAGTCAGGGATGGTAAACTCCTGGCACGGGGGCCATTTCCGGCCCACGAAACCCCACATTGTGCCTGTGATTAAAAGTCAATAAATGTTTTTTGAAAAGGGTTAAAAAGGGTATAGCATTATATTGCAATTGGCATTGTTATCAATACAGTACTACAGTAGTACTGTAGTACAGTACTACAGTACTACAGTAGTACATCAGCTGATCTCTGTCAGTTTTTTTTGCTCTGATTTTCTACAAAAATGTTTTAAAAAATATATACAATATGCAATTATTTTTTGCGGATTTTTTTGTTTTGTTTTGTTGTTATTGTTCAGGGTGGAGAGTGTGTGTGTGTGTGTGTGTGTCACCCCTGGTCCTGGTTCTGACCATTACGCGCGCGGACGCGGACCTCCTGCAGGACTAAACATCTCATCTCAAGGACATTAAACATTTTATAAATCAACTCTTAGCTTCACCTGCAGCTCACGTGTTACCGCGGAGCCGCTCGGCTGAAATTACGCACCGCTTTTACAAACAAACACTGGTGGCGGTGCTGTGCGCAACCGGTGCGTCACGGTTACCGGTGCGTCCGATCCGATCCGATGTTTGTCACTTTTTGAAGCTCTATCTCCTGTGAACCAGATCCTTCAGCTTGTCCCTGAACTCCTTCCTCATCAGGCAGTAGATGATGGGGTTCAGGCAGCTGTTGGTGTGGGCCAGACACACGGTCAGAGGGAAGGCGTAGGTGTGGACGATGTAGTAGGCTCGGTCCCAGTTGGCCACGTTCAGCTTGACCAGGACGCTCCACAGGGTGATGGCGTGGTTGGGCATCCAGCACAGGAAGAAGGACAGCACCACGATGGTGATGGACCTCGTCACCTGCCATCTGCGCCGCGGGTTCCTGCTCTGCATGCTGCGCTTGCGGACGAAGCGCAGCAGCATGATGTAGCTGACGGACACCACGCACATCGGCAGCACGAACCCGACCAGGATTTTCTGGATGTGGTAGACCGCCAGCCAGTGCTGTCCACCCGGGAACCTCAGCAGGCACAGCTTCTCCCCGGACACGTTGCTGACCGTGGAGAAGATCGAGGTGGGTGCAGTGGCCAGGGTCGCCAGCGTCCAGATGATGGCGCAGATCCATTTAGCGGAGCAGGATTTACGCGCGGTGCTGTTCTTCAGCGCCGAAGCCACGGACCAGTAGCGGGTCACACCCATGGCGGTCAGACAGAAGACGCTGGCGTACATGCTCATCACCGTGATGGAGAGGACGATTTTACACATGGCGTTGCCAAATGGCCAGCTGAAGTCCAGAGCAGTGTCCACGGCCCAGAAGGGCAGGGTGAGGACGAACTGCAGGTCCGTCACCGCCAGGTTGAGAACGAAGAAGTTCACCTGGGACGTCTCCCTCCCCTTCTTCACCCTGACGAAGAACAGCACCAGCAGGTTCCCGATCAGACCCGCGGCGCAGACCACCGAGTAGACCAGACAGATGAGGACCCGGAGGACCAGGCTGCCGTCCGCCGTCACGTCGATGTCCTCCAAGTTACTGAAGCGGTCGATGCCCGTGAGGGAGTTGTTGAGGAACAGACGGTGGTATTCTTCATCCATAGCGTCAGGGAGTTCCGGTCAGTGGAGAGTTCCACTGTTGGCTCTAAGATAAAGTTTAAAAATGATTTCAGTGATGGAGTCTCCTCTGAGTCCGGCTGCTCCTTCTTCTCCTCTCTTGTCTCCTTCTCCTTCTCTACTCATCAAACATCACTTCATGATGTCAAACAGTCCCTCTAACCCCCCTCCTGTCTTGTCCATCATGTCTCAGTCTATCACTGGGACCCCCACCCCCCTCCACCAGGTCACAGAGACCCTGGGACGCCCCCTCCTGTCCTGTCCAACAAAACAAAACTGTATTATCTACCAAATATCCTCCTCGTCAGCAGACCAGTCTGATCCACGGCCAGTGGAGATGTGGACTGAAGCCGACAACTGCTGCGCGGAAGGTTTGAGAAGAGAAGTGGCGTGAAACGACTCTCTGCTGCCACCCTGCGTTCAAATGTAAATCTCAGCTAAACCTACAACACCAACAACAGAGAAATGAATTATTTAAAAGTACAGTACAATATATAAAAGAGCCTCACAACGGTAAGCGCTTTGCCTTACAATGAAAAGGTCAGCAGTCTGATCTCCAGCTTCAACTGAAGGCGTTTCTGTCTTTACGTTCTCTGTGATGTTGTTATGGTTCAGGCTAAAATATGTTCAAAATATTATTCAGCCAACCAGAACCTGCACTGCATATACTTGGCTACATGGCTGTGTGTCAAACCCAAGGCCCGTGGGCCACATCTGGCCCTCCAAGTCATTATTTGAGTGAATTAAAAATATGAACAAATGACTTAATTTTTACTCCTGTAACACCTGACATTTCACTCAGAAGACGACACACTGTCCACCTGCAGCTACGGCCATTCACACTAACATTCACACTAACCTTCAATTCTGTATGAATTGACCTAAAATCCATGTTTTGGTCTGTGGGTATCTGGTCTCTGAAGAGAACCCTCTCCACATACACAGAGGACGACTTGATTCTGACGGGTTACATTTTTCTATAAGGCAAGAGCACTGACCACTCTACCACCGTGTGGCACTTTTTTTTCTTTCAAGTTTCCTTAAATATATGTATGTACTGTATAATATACATAAATACATACATACACATACATACATATAAACTTCCCACTTTATATGTACTGTATATATGTCCAGTGCAGATGAAGTGACAACAGAGTTAACAGAATGCATTTTATTACATCGAAACCTTTCTACATAAACAGGTAACATTCAATAGGTAAACAACTTCTTCCAATGCAAGTAATAAATATTTTTTTTCCCACTTGGTATATTTGTACAAACTAACAAGGGACGACTGTACACGTCACGTCCTCTCCCTCCGTCAGAAGCCTTTCCATTTCAACATGTTTAAGGCAGTGAGTGCAGACGCCGACAACAGTCTCACTTTTTTTAGTTTATTTCAGTCGCGTGAGAAAAATCATTGGCCACGGTCCTCGTATTTTATTTTAAATACCCTTATATCTTTTATTAAAATATATTTATATATATATGAATATATACACATATATGCATATGTGTGTATATATTAATGTGTCTATGTATACATATATACATACATATATGTAAAAAATATACATATATAAATATATTTTAATAAAATGTATATTTATATATTTTCCTTAAGTGACTTCAAACACCCGTGTTTTTTGGACCTGCACTTTCACTTTTCAGGTGTCCAGACACAATGTACACACGGTTGACCGTCCCCATTTATCGGAGGTGTGACGTCACGACCAGCAGAGGGCTCCTGCTGCTCACCGGGCTTTGACCCCCGCAGCTGAGAGGAACCGCGGGCCAAAGTGGCCTCGTTTTGTTCACGTTAGTCCCGGTGGACTGTGGCTTTGTTCACACAGAGCAGCGAGTACAGAAGCTGTGGGGGAAACAATGTGTGTGTTCACAACTGTGTGTGTGTGTGTGTGAGTGTGTGTGAACAATCCAGAAATGTCAACTAACAAAGAAGACTCCACGTTCACCACAGCAGGAAAAAGAAAAGAATAGCCATGAAGAGGACAACGTCTCACTCGCAGTGACAACCATGAACCAGAAGAGGGAGCTGTGCGCCCTTCTTGTTTTGTTTTTTTCCCTTCCATAACACCATTGACCTTTTTTTAAAATGTTTAATAGAAACGCATTCAAATCAGTCTGCTCTTACATTACCACCGCCCTCGTCGCCATGTTCTGTCTGAAGATGAAATAAATGAGGATGTGATCAAACGAACCTCACGTTTTTAAAAACACGTGATTTATAATGAGTGTCGCAAGTTAATAACATCAATTATCTGGCCACAAACACAGTTACAGTAGGTGAGGAGCTCAGAGTGACGTACGCGACACTGGGTCAGTGCTAACAATGAGACTAGTCCTGTTTAAGATGTAAATTATAGGAAAGAGCACATCAGCTACCGAGGCTCATGTTGACAGAACACGTGACTGTCATCCTGGTTACAGGTGACGTCATCAACATTTGACAGCGTCATGCTTTATCGGCCATTTCCCTGTAAATGGGATTTTTAAAAGTCAGCCATAAAAATACACTTTTTTTTTTAGATGATAATTTATTGAAGAGTCATCTTCCTAATATTTATTTATTCATACTTCAAAACTGGACTTACTTTGGAAGCCAACGTGGGGAAAAAGAACCCTTGAAAATGTAAAATACTTTTTGTAGGTTTTAAAGTTTTAATTAGGGCACAGTATCTTTGGAATTAATATAAGTGTAATTCTTTTTTTTGTCCAGATTTGTATTTATTTATTCAGTTTTACAGGGACTGTCTCTGATTCAACATTAATCACAGTCATTTCTGGCAACAGAAGTAGAATTTTTTTTACTCACATCTCAGACAGTGGAGCAAGAAGTAGAATATAAAATTATTTTTACTCACATCTCAGACAGTGGAGCGTCAGAATTTAGAAAATCAGCAAAAAACAAAAAAAAAAAGAAAACTTTGAAGTTTGAATTTGTTTTGTGCATTTTTACCACTAACCATTTCCGACCATTTAACAAACTCCAACTCTCATTGGCTGAGGGACAATCTGTCACTCAGGAATTTTGGCTAGAAGTAGCTAAACGTTAGCAAAACGCAGCATCGATTGCTGAACAAAAAGTGGAGAAGAACCAAAACAAAAACAGACAGTTTGATTTAAACTGTTCTCGGAGATGAAACAGAAACATATTTAACTGCGGGAATATATATTTTTCCGTCACCTTTTTCACCAACTTCCCTCAAACACAGGTCATTTTTCCCAAATGGTGAACAACGGGGATTTTAAAATATACCTCGTATTAAGTGGTAGAGTCCGTGACTGTAGCTGAATCACCTGATGGTGATGTGTTCAGTGCCCCGTTATAACAACGACCGAGTCAGAACACACACAGAGACCGTCGTGTCCAACGACTGACCACGAGAAATCTGCTGGAAAACAATAATAAAAATAACAATATTTATAAATGTATATTAAATAATAATAATAACAAACGGCAGCTAACACACACACACACAAACACACACATGGAAATAAACAATGTTAAAAAAATATAATATATAGAGAAATAAGAAAAAAATAAAATAAATACTGCACAACACAGGAAATACACGAGACTTGTTCCAGCAAATGAGTGAGTCGGCTCGAGAGATAAATTAAAGACGAGGCGAGGGGAGGAAGGAGGAGGAGGAGGAGGAAGAGGAAGGAGGAAGAGTGCATCCTCTCAGAGAGACAGGAAGGAGGAGGAAGTGAGGTGATGATGTCAGAGGTGATTATCTTATAGTGAGGAGGAGAACCAAAGCTGTGGCTGCTGCTCCTAGACGTCCTG